TTGCAGTGAGATTGGATATTTTTTCTTTTACTTTTCTTGATTTTTAAATTTTTTATAATGGAGTTATGATATATCTAGAACTTATAAAATTTAATCTTCAACATTAGGCTAGAACAATAGTACTTTTAAACATCTTGTCCTTATTTACTTTGTAATTTGCTCTGTGGTTGACCCATAAAACGTTCACAGTGCTACATACCTGGCACCCGAGAGATCATCTGACATAAATCGACACTTAAGGCAGCAGCCCTCTGTAAGAGGTAACCCCAGGAATGCATCTGAATCTCATACCCTAGCAGAATATCAGGGTCATACCTACAGAAGGAATGAAAAAAGGACCACACATTGAAACCTTTTACCAGAAGAATTGTTTCTTCATGATATAAAGTATAAAAATAAAAATCTATATTCTATGTTTCTCAATGGGAAAGGGATGATACAGTGGCACCTACAAAACTGCTATACAGGAAGGAGTTGGCCAAGTAGAAGCTCTTGGTTTGATGCTACTTTTATAAAGTAAGTACCGTTTTCACTTAGACTGTGTATTTATTTGATCTGACTTGGGAAAGAGGCTGATAGAAATTGGGGTGGAAGGGAGGAATTACCACTGAAGTACATGAGAGAGGGTATGATTGAAAATACAATGCAGGTAGGGGCAGGGTGAAGTGTGAGGGCATGTGTGGATATTGTGTTCTGAATTCTCCCAGGTCATTCTGTTGCCATTTCTCTACCTCTCTAACCTATACTGTTCTTAAATAGTTTTAATGCTGAGAAAGAAAATAAAAATGTCTTCCATTTCTTACTCAATTTTAGTAATGACCTGGTCCTTACATGAAATAAGGCCTCAGTAATGACAAGTTTGTCCTCTCAACTTAAGAGGAAAGTGACTCAGTTTAATGGAAGACTGAAATATTAAAGGAGTGAGATTAATGTGGGAAAGATAAGCATCAGAAACTAGGAGGAAATTTGCTCATTGTGTTGAGTTGCACTGGTAAACTGAACTGACAATCTGCATCTAACTCAGAAGGAGCCTCGTGTGGCTCCTCTTATGACTTCCATGGTGACCACCATGAAAGAACGCGGGGGGAAGAGAGGAACTGATTACAGTCATAAATTGAGAGCAAAAACTACAGTAACTCTATCAAATTAGAAGCTCCAAATTACTCTGATTATTGTATTGCTTATAAAAGCCCCCAAACAGGTGATAGATCACAAAAAGTTATAAAGTTGTGTTTTACATTACTGCTTATAAAGTCACTCTGAATTGTGGAATGTCCAGATTATATCACTTAACTCCTGGAGTATCGGCCAATGCCTGCAGTATAGAATTATACTAATTTACCAGTGGAAGCTAATATAGCTACTCTGCAAGTCTGTGGTATAACAGTGGATCATGAACAGATCAGCAGGTATATTTTAAACTGTTTTGCTAATATTTTATACTTCCATAGCTTCTTTCTTTTTAGAAAAAAAATGTTTATTGATTTTAGAGAGAGAGGGATAGAGAGAAACATCAATGACAGAGAAACATAAATCGGCTGCCTCCTGCATGCCCTCTAACTGGGGATCCAGCCTGCAACCTGGGCATGTGCCCTGACTGGGGGGTCAAACTAGTGATATCCTGGTTCATGGGTCGATGCTCAACCACTGAACCATACCAGCCGGGCCATAGCTTCTTTCTTAAAATGGGTGTTGAATGGCTTTAGTTCTTACTTATAAGAATGTCACAAAAATGTCTCATTTTTAATCCTGGATGATTTAAGTAGCTGATATAAAAAAACCAAGTTCAAACTTCTGCAATGGCATTCTTTTTATTTTTTCTATTCCTTAAAGGCCCTATCAAAATACATTGTATAATGTAAATTTTAATATCTGGTGATCTGCTTGTGATCCACTGTTATACCACAGACTTAGCCCTCAACTTGTCAGGAGACAAAGATAAAGGAAGCAAGGCAATATGCAACAATGAGGCAAATTCTGTCTCAGAAATCAAAGGCTTAAAAAGGTAGATTAATTCATAAAAAGAAAATTCAGAAAGATCCGAGGGCACTTAAGAAAAGGAATCTCCCAACACCTTTCCTGCTCATTAGTCTTTTAACATAACATCTAATACACATTTGTCATTGATAGCAACTTCTCAGAGCAGTCAAAGATGAACTATCTGTAAGACAAGTGCATCTCCCAGTAAAACTACGTAATGTTTAAACTTAAGAAATCGGGGTAGAAGTGTCAAGTGACTCTAAGGATTGTCAGGGATAGATTTGAAGGATTCCTATATACACACAACACACTACTGCAGTCAACTGGAGAGGGGGAGGGGAAGGAGGAAGGGGAGAAAGAGAAACATTAATCAGTTGTCTTCCTTCTAACCCCAAACCTAGGTAGGTGCCCTAACTGGGAACTGAACTGGCAACGTTTTGGTGCATGGGGCACTCCAAACAACTAAGCCACTCTTGCCAGGCTTGCTAATGTTTTGAAAAATTATTTTTCTCAATTAAAAAGTTGTCTATTTTATAAACTGTCACTGCTCAAAGATGATGGCTGAAAAAACAACAAAAAGTTACCCTATGCTTCTCTTAATGGATTTATTAAGTAGATTTTGTTCTTTTAGAAGAATTATGTAGTTGTTTCAATATTTTTCAGCTCTATTAAGTATATTTATTTTTTGACCTAGAGGCTGTTTAGTCTTGAGACTCTTAAAGCTGATATAACATTTGTTACAAGTTCAAAATTTCAACGTTTCTATATTTTTTCTGTGGAAACGTTTGGTGACAATAACATAATCTTGGTAACTTGTTCTTTAATTTTTTAAAAATGTATTTTATTGATTTTTTACAGAGAGGAAGGGAGAGGGATAGAGAGATAGAAACATCGATGAGAGAGAAACATCGATCAGCTGCCTCCTGCACACCCCCCACTGGGGATGTGCCCGCAACCAAGGTACATGCCCTTGACTGGAACCTGGGACCCTTCAGTCCACAGGCCGACACTCTATCCACTGAGCTAAACCGGTCAGGGCTTGTTCTTTAATTTTTATGAATTTTATTTTGTCTATCAGGTTTTCTGAAAGTTATAGAAAAAACAAGGTTAGGTAGCAGGGATCAGTGGTGAAGAAAATAAATGTGGAGAAAATAAAAGCAACAGAAACACGAAAATGATTTTATTTGCTTAGGCAAAAAAAAAAAAAGAAGCTATTTCACAACTAATATTTTAAATAACCCACCAACATCTGCACAGATGAGAGCTGAGGGGGCTGTAACTAGGCCAGTGGCAATCAGCATGGAGGAGAAGGAATGGTTTTGAGAAATACCTGAGGTTAAGTGGGTAAGATATATTGTATGGATGTAGGGAAAAGAAAAAGGGAGGAATCAAAGCTTATATTTAAATTAGGAAGTCTGGGAAAATGGAAAATTATTAACAGTTCAAGGAAATATAGAAAGACAAATGATTGTGACAAGAAGATAATGGATTTAGTTTTACTTGCTTAATATTGCTTTATACTACTTTTTATGTTTGCCACCTGAGGAGTAAATATTAAGAATGGAAAAATAAAGTTAATAAAACTCTGTGAGTATGCACCTATATTTTATTCAATTTTATATCTAGCATCCAGCACTGTACGTTACACAGAGTTAACATTTAAGAACTGATCAGGGTGAGCCTCTTGTGCATTATCTCGCTTAATTATCCTACGCATTACCCATTTACAGATGAGGACACTAAAGCTTAGAGATACATTAACTTGCCTGAGACAAAAAAAAATACAGATCCAAAGCCTATGCTTTTAACAAAGCCTGTATGGAGTAGGTACTCAACAAAAGGGGTGCAAGAATGAAATAACCTTTTAGAGGTTCGTTTGGACTAATATAAAAAACATTACAGAATTGAAATGTTGATATTTTAGCATTTTTTTCTCTTTATAATAATCATATGATCTTTTGGAGTAAGAATTAAAAGTTAGTTTTATTTTACTTTACTGCATTTTTTTCCTTAATGACCAGTATAATTCATGTTATAGACATTTTAGAAAGTACTGCACTTGCACATGATTGAGAAAACTCTCCATGTTGGCAGGTAATCCTGTTGTTGGGAATATACCTAATAAGGAGAAGACAAGCACACGAAGCCCAGGGACATGACTGGATTTGTGCTGGCATACAAAATGGTATTGACAGAAACTCTTACATGTTCCTTTTGCTAAGCTGCTTGAAGAAATAAAAGGATGGGCATGAAAGCATCTGGCATGTTGATGACAACTTCTGTGAGAAGATAAATGGTAGGACTGACAATGGCAAGACTCAAATGGATGGGAATCCATCCAGTCACCAGTGCTATAAATGCTAAAAATACATCATTTTTTCCTCCTAAATGTAGTGGGTAGTAGCATATCATTTTTGATGCTCTGACATTTAATTTAATTTTGTTTTGTTGAAAACATTTTCTGGTTTTCTAATTTTCAAAATGGTTTATGTTAACCTATTTTGGATACAGACAGATGTTGAGTGCATAGAATATCAGAATATAATTTCAGTTTTATAGGCTTTACAAGAATTCCACTATAAAGTTCAACTAAATTTTACAAGAAGTCAACTAAAGAGAGGATTGAGTATAATAACATGCTCAAAACCAGCTTTTATCCACACATCAGGATTCAGAGTGTATTTTCTAGCCTGATTTAGGCATTTAAAAACCTAAAGCTTGCAATGGGCAGAAATATTAAGTTCCTGGAAAAGTGAAACATTTAATAAGAGAGTCCATGGCTACCCAGAATAATACTCTTGAGAAAATGCAAAAGAACCACTTACTTTATTTTTAAATTAAATTTATGAACAGATTGCATTCCAAAGCTTTTTAGAAATATTAGTTTGCTTAGAGCTCAGAAAACATTTACTTAGGGAAAAAAAAGTTTATTGAAATGGTGGCTGGCCTCCATGGTAGAGCCTATTTAATGAATAAGTTTGCTGTAGTTCCTCATTATTTCACCAGCATAGAAAAGTCATGCTAAAATCTAACTGGGAAAGCTAGAGGCTAAGCTAATATCTCTTTTACTGACCCCTCAATCTTGAGGATAGAATATTCTTTTTCCAATACCTAACTTGACAGAGGTGGTGGGAAGTGAGGGCAAAATCTTTTCAGGGATAACTCTATTTCAACAGAAAGGAGTTCTCTCCCTTTTCCCGACCTTCATTTATATTAAGCAGCAACAGGATTAAAGTATTCTCTGAACAAACAAAAAATAAAAAATACAAAACAGTACCTCTTTATTATATCTGCAATTTCTTGAAAAAGTCCCTTCTCATCAGCAGCATAGGTAACTTCTAGTCTTGTAATTCCAGATCTAATGAGTAACGGGGTCTGATATCTGATATCTAAGAAATAAACAAAATGTATATTATATACAACTGTGTAAGGACTATTGTTCCTTACTTAAAAAATTTTTTTATTTATTAATTTGAGAGAGAGATACATTGATTTGTTGTTCTACTTATTTATGCATTCATTGGTTGATTTTGTATATGCCCTGACTGGGAATCAAACCCGCAACCTTGGCATAGAGGGACAGTGCTCTACCAAACTGAGCTACCTAGCCAGGGCTGTTCCTTACTTTTGAGTGAAATTATGCTACTGAAAGAGTTCAAATTAAGCGAGTGTTTCCCCAAAGTAAATACAAAATTAACCCAATTTCTTGAAAAATTTCTTTAAAAAAACCTTAAGAAAATTTAAAAATTCAAATTTCACATTTTCCCGAAAAGTCTTACATTCACAAAATTCTCCAGATAATGTCACCTGAAAAGAAATGTTATTACTTCATTTGTGTCTTTACTCTTCCTATAGGCAAAGTTTTGCTTAGTAGAGAATACTTAAATCAGCAGTATTCTGGAAAATGTTTACAATAACCTCTCCAGGAGTAGGGGGAAGCCCCAATTTGTAGTGCTTACCTATTTCCATGACATAAAGCTGTCCCTCCATGGCTGACTTCAAGCTACCAATGTGACATCAACTAGTTCAAAATAATAAGCCATGATATATTCATTGGCTTGTGAGCTGGTAAAAGCCAGCTCAAGCACACCAATGATTAAACTGCAAATTCCTATATAATTGTGTTCAGTTCTTTTCAGTTGACTGAATTCATTTATTACCATTTAAAACTACAGAGGGACATTTTGTGTTTTATAAAATGCCTTATATGGTACCAGTGGCCCAGTGCACGAAATTTGTGCATGGGGGGTGTGTGTGTCCCTCAGCCCGGCCTGCACCCTCTCCAATCTGGGACCCCTCAGGGATCGGGCCTAAACTGGCAATCGGACATCCCTCTTGCAATCCGGGACTGCTAGCTCCTCACTGCTCATCTGCCTGCCTGCCTTCCCGCCCCCAACTGCCACCCCTTGTCGGCCTGCTTGCCCCTAAC